CCTTCTCCCCCCCCCAAAACCCCCAGCCCACCCACCTCCTCCCCAACCCCTGGCCAGTTTGGACAGGTTTCGAAGGGTTTTTAGAAGGGTTTAAGATCGGTTCACAGGTAGCCCTCGTGGACACGAGGCTGCCAGGGATAAAGGGGGGCTGCGGAAGGGCTGTGCCAGCATGATGAGGTGCCTTGGTATGGGTAAGGGTTCATTTGCAGCTCCATGGGATTGAGGGTATCTCAGACTAGAAACACTAAAGGCTACAGCCCCAATTTTGTTCCTGATTGATGTATCAAGAGGGACGCTGCACCCGGTTTCCAGCAGGTGCCGCTCCCCACCATTAGATGGAGCAGCCCAACAGCCAAAGCCTCAATCCTGGCGGCGCTCTTATCACTGCCAGGATAGAGGCCTTGCGAGAGGGCTTTTCAAAAACAAAAACAAAAAAAAAATAAAAAAATAAAAAAATGATCCACCTGTGGCAAGTGTGATGTGCATACAAGATGTGTTTCACAAAACCCATTGCTAACGACGCCGAACAAGAATGACGGCCTGCATGGTCCCCCCCATCATCATCCAGAGAAAGAATGAGCGCTGTGTGACGGCTGGTCCCCTCGCCTGAGAACTAACCAACTTGTTTGTCAGACAGCCAATCCCGCAACTTATTAGCTACCGTTTCCACCCGAATAGAACGCCCGGTCATTATCACTGTATATAGACTGCAAGTTGCACCAAATACGGCTATAATGACCGGCCAAAAAAAAAAAAAAAAAAAAGGAGACTGGGCATTCTTTACAGGTGAGACCGGTAGTTTTCAGGCGAGATCTGACAGCACTGAGATCTGCAAAAGAATCGAAAGGATAGCTTACAGCCGGAATCTGATGGCCATCAAGGTCTGAGACATGGCACAGCAGCAGATCTGACACCCCTTTTATAGACGATCTGCAATAAAGACGCTCCCGACTAATTGCAGCATGAGGCCCCGACACACTGATGTGAGCATTCCAAGATCTGACTCATGGCGTGAAGCTCGGCAATGCCGCAATTGCAGCACGAAGCTCGGCCTATGCCTTCTGGAGTGGGAACTGCTCAAAATATGACACGTGGCCAAGCTTCGTGCTCCAACCGCTGGGCTTCACGCCATGTGACAGATCATTCCAAGATTTGACCCCAACGGGCGAGCATCGCTCCATCCGGAACCTAAAGTTCTGGTCTTCTGACCAACGAGAAAAAAAACTCCGAGCTCCTTGATGTCAGACAGTTCCAAGATCTGACATGTGGCTTCATGCTGTGAGTGAGCTTTGACATGATCTGACGTGATCTGACATGTGGCACGAAGCTCGCCCATGTCCTTGCTTGTTGCAGCACGAAGCTCAGCCCACTCCTTCTCAAGGAGGAATCTCTCAAGATCTGACACTTGGCACTCCTTGACTGCCTCACTCATCGGCTCCCTCATGAGGGGACCGCTGCTGTCATCCTCCATAGTCCTCATGCTCATTGCAGCATGAAGCTCGACCAGGTCCTCGCACTTCGAAGCTCGTTCATGTCCTTGTAGAATGAAAGCCAGCCATTTCCTTGCAGCACTAAACGCAGTCATTGCGGCCTGGAACTCGGTCATTGCGCGGTCACACTCTCGCTCATTGTGCCCCGACGCTCGGCCGACGACTTCTCGCTGAAGATCTGACACATGGCACTGCTTGAGGACTCCCTCCCTTGTTGGATCCCTCATGAGAACACCACTGCTATCTTCCTCCATGACCTTCATGCTCACAGCGCGGTGACATCAACAAGCGCCAACTCAACCACTGTCCAAAACTCGAATCGGACGTGTGCCAAATTGGTCGAGGGGCAGGCGGAGAAGATGCCTGCCAGGTAGAGGGGCAGGTGGCGAAAGAAGTGTGCTGGGCCCTACAGTCTACGGCCAGGGTGTTTGCTCACGGGCATGTGTAGAACGAAGGAACATCTCAAGAGACCCCCATGTTTTAGGGGTATCTGACGAAATACGCCGACTTTCAGGGGCACTTGTTTAACTGTCCTTTTTTCCAATTCAATCTTTCATTTTATTCACCCGCTTTCCATTCATTGGTAGACTTTGCGCTGGCTACCATCGGCTTTGATATTTTGGCTGTCGCCATTTCCGGACGGTGTCTCGTTTTGACCAATCTCTGAGCCTCTTTTCCTCAATGCGCTGGCTCCAGGCTTCTTAACACTGGTGTGGATTCCAGGCTTAGGATTTATGGCTTGAGGGTTTAGAGTTTGGGGTCGAGGGTTTGTAGTTCGGGGTTGAGGGTGTGTGGAGTTTGGGGGTTAGGGTTGATGGCTTGAAGTTCGGGGCTAAAGACTTGGGATGAGCACTTAGGGTTTACCGCTAGGGGCTCAGAGTCTATGGCTTACGGCTGAGGGTTTGGGGATCACGGTTAAGTATGGCTAATGGTGTAGAGGTGCAGGTTTAAAGCCTGCTGAAGGTTTTAGGGCTCACAGTGGAAGAACAAGGGTTTAGGGCTTTCTGTTCAGATGGCTACGCTAATGTGTTTTGATGGCTACGGTATGTTGGGCCCAGACGGCTACGGCAATGTTGGGCCCCAGATGGCTATGGTAATGTTGGGGCCAGATGCAGCTCTCTGAGCCTCTCCACAGGTTTTCCCCAAACAAGCAAAATGATCTCCCATATGCTTGGGGTCCTGTGACGAGCCCACAACTTCTTTCGGAACCAGATTATGCCCGCGAGTTAGGGTTCGCGAGACAATGTTCAGCAAGGGATAGCGAGCGGGGAGTTTCCAGTTTAGAATTTTTCTGATGAAGTACACTACTCATCAACCGTTACCCGAATAGAATGCCCAGTCACTATCTCGGGTGACGCCGGTGGTTTATATGGAGTTCGCGTGTTGGGGTTCGCAGGGCACTGTTCGAGATGAGCTGGGGAGTGGGGAGTTTTGGCTTTGTGCTACTGCAGAAATACCCTGCTCAGTGATCAACACAATTTCGCCTAATTATACAGAGTTGCGGGGTGGCTTTGAAATATACCCTGCAGCCTGCACAACACACTTGAGCAGGGAGCATGCCACTCTTCTCTGCATTATTCCAATTTTGACAGATGTCCCAAAGGACAGCCTGTGGCTGTGTTCTGGTACATGCGTAGGACACCGTTGATGCACCGATCATCAGTTCGAATTCCACTCGAAACAATAGCACCAGCAGGCAGCAGCTAAAGCCTGAAGCCCTTCAGCAAAACACAAACAACACAAATCGAGAACAAGGTGTGTGTGTGTGTGTGTGTGTGTGTGTGTGTGTGTGTGTGTGTGTGTGTGTGTGTGTGTGTG